CTCCCTCAAGGAAATTGAATTTCCAGCAGCTTACAAAACACTTAAAAAAAATAAAAGAGGTATATAAAAAAAAAATGCAATAAAATACAATATAGGACTTATCATTATCATTTAACTTTCTTTGACTGATATACCCTCTTTTAATAAGACTTGTGTTCAGTTTCTTCTGCTCAGATGACATATATTTTATGAGTTTACACATTTAAATGAGTTAAAGTACTGTAGCACAGGTAGTGGCTTACACTAGAGCCTAATCTAGACAAATACCAGCAAACTTTATTAAGCAGATCAGCGAAGTTTTAAAACAAGTCCCATGTTTGGTTAATGCCTTTCATTTCCTTTGACTAAATGTTAAATAGCATTAGATTAGTACCATCTTGCGGGTCATTCCCAATAGTTAATCCCTCTCTTAAACCACTAAATCGTTGTGTGTACGGCCATCTCAAAGATATTCTACCCTAATTACCCTCAAACAATTGTTCACCTGCTCTCCATGTGTTGTTTTTGTCCATTTTGACTCAGTAGTGTCAGAACATTTGTCTGTTTGCACAGTAAAGGCAGAGGATTTATCAGTGTGCTCCAGTCCTTCTTTGTTCTCTCCAAGGTTGCTGTCCTTGAACTGAGAGGCCCCTGATACAGCTGCTGGAAGATGCGTGGAAAATCCCGTTCCTACTAGCAGCATTTTTATAATTGGTCAGCACTATTCAGACATTCAAAATGAAACTTGAGGTTAAGGTAACTCCACACAACTGACATCACGTTCCAGCTACTCTTCACCTGTTCATGGTACCTCTGCGTCTCTGCGTAATGGATCATACCACGGTATATTTTTTATAGTATCAGACTGGCACATCCCTCGTTTCAACACCTCGTTGTTCACTTGGATTTTGGGAGTGGAAGCATGGATGGACTGAGGAGCTTTAATTCTGTACTGAAATTCAGAAACTCTGGCACGATACAGAGACAGAGTTGCGTGAAACTGTGTTACCGCTGTATCCAATACCATAAATGTTTCACTGCATCACTTAAAATGTTAGGAATACACTCGTGTGGCCGTAATCCCCTCAAAGTGCACGTGAGGTAAGCAGAAAAAGAGTCATTCTGAAGTAATGTAAGGGATCACTCCCCAGCGTACTGAGTGCAGATCGGGGCTACATGCCTCCACATACATGTAATGTTCTTCAGAAGTGCTGTAGCAAATGCCCTGCATCCTCTTTAAAGGGGAACTTGACAACTTTT